TGAGCCTAAGTTGAGGTAATCTTGTCTCCCACAAGGGCTAACCTCAATTATGCTTCTTGTTCGGTTGCTTCCTAATCAATTCCTACTCAATCACTCCAGTTATTTATATTTTCCACATTTAAATAAAACTAGAAATAATTAAGGTCTATTCATACGAAATAAATATGCAAGTACAATATAACAATCATTAACGAAAAGTAACCTATGGCAATGGATGAAAATGAATATGATTAGCTACCAAAGGTGTGGTGGCATCGAAGGGGTTATGTTCATTGTGCCCCGGGTTCAAATTCGTTTCGGTAGGAAGGGTTATTCTTTAATCGGAATATCTAAAAGCTGATTCCGGATACCGAAAAGATTATAAACCAAAAATTCGAAACTTCCACGGGTTATCTAAGAAAAACTAAAAGAATATGATTAGCTCATCCCGAACCTTTTGTTCGCTTCAATTGCTTAAGAAAACCAGAAAAACAATTACACTTGCCAATTTATGCCAACTAACGCCAGTAGAACAAAATATAAGCCAATCAAGGGAGTTCTGTAAATTATAGAACTAATAATTTTTTATGTATTTGGTTGTTTTATTTTTCTTTTACGTCGAATGACTATTCTATTACTTAAATTTGAGGTGGTGTAGCACACCGCAATAGAACAACCAACAAAGTTAATAGTACACATATGTGATATGTAATCTAGTTAAAAGAGGTCAATGATCTGCTTGAAGCGTGGATGCTTAAGGAATGATTGAGAAACCAGAAGACTTGATGTTATAAGATGTTTTATTTGGAGAGTAACTTTTGCATACAATTTTTTTTAAACTAAGATAGAAACAATGATACTCATTGTTCGACCCGAAAATTTTCAATGGTTCTTCTCTCATTTATGAACCATTCGTTAAGAACTCGTTTTTATTTGTTCTCGAGTACTTTTGTAAATCAAAATCAGTGTAAAGCCAGAAAGTTAAAAATACATGCATTTGTAAAACTAATATATGAAGAAGTTTGCTCGGGACAAGCAATCAAAAGCCTCAAAAGGCAGCACCAATCTAATAAGTATGATGCACCTAAAGACAAAAGTTGGTAAAACCCAATCTTTCTACTTAAACTGATAACAAATATATAATCAAAAGATGTCACAACGACCAAAAAATTTCTTTTTTATTTTGCAATTAATGAGTTTAGCTTTCTCAACCATTGAATGAGCTCAATCCTATCCTTATTCATCATATATTCATGCAAGAAAAAACAAAGGTCCGAGTCTATTCCTCTTACTCGCAAAAACTCCTTAATCGCAGTCTGAAAATCATACTTCAAACTCCTACAAAGAAACAAAGATCACAATTTTCAGTAGTTGCGTTCAACATATCAATTTCCTGTAACGCAGTATATCACTCAGACTGTGTCAACAATCTAATTTCAGGTATAAGATATCAAGAAAGCCGGAAGATTTGTGTACCCGAAATCGCGTCCCATGTAAGGCTGGCCAGTGATTTTGTTGCGTCTAAGCATGTAAAGCTTTTGAATTTCGATACGGTTGGGCCAGACGGAGCAAAGGAACTCGATCTCTTCGCTTCCGTCGATCTTGGAAATGTCGACAAGCAAGCTAACGTGGAGACGGACATCGCGCCCTGAAGCATCTAAACCGGTTCTCGGAACAGACATAAACCCATCAAACATAGTTGCTTCCATTTTGATGTTTTCTTCTTCTCCAAACTTCCCTTTCATCACAATGCATTGTTCACCGGGACAATCCTCGACAGAGAACGATTTGAATTCAGTCGCCGGCTACATTAATCACCAAATTGGATATGAATCAAAAGCTTCTTAATCTTATATTCCCATTTGCTTAGATCTTTAACAGAAACACTACACTGATTCAAATTATCGAAACTAATTACAACTTTCTATAATTTCTATGATACTTCAATTTCATTTCACAGATAACAATTACTCAAATCCGAAACCTAAAATTTCAAGCTGAAAATTCAGAGCTTTGGATAATGATTCTAAACGAAATCAGAGGAATACCTGATGCGGAGGAGCATATTCCGATTGATACTCGATCTCATTTCTTATAATTCGAAGGAGATTGGACCGGAAGGGAGAATTCGCTGCGTAGGATCGCCGCGAAGGGAGAAGCGAAGTCGAGTTTGCGATGTCTCGTGATTGGGGAGTTGGTAACAGAGATTTACATCGAGCGTAAGAAATTAGGGTTCTTGAGGAAAGAAATTGAGAAGGAGAAATGCGTGTTTTCTGAAGAGAACGGTGAAGAAGAGCCATGGAGGTCGCCGACATTAGGGATCTTGGAGAGGTTTTGTAATTTGAATCGAAATTGCAGAAACTGATTTATGGGCTTTTTGGATGTCCAATAGTAGCGTTTTTTTTATGAGAATAAAAACAACTAATGGGCTTCCACATTGGTTTATTTGTTAGTGTATGGTAATTTGTAGAGGAATTTGCAAATATATTTGATTTTTACAAATAAATGTTGTGTATTCTTTTACTTTTATTTATTTCGTTTTCCTTTTTTATTGATTACGAGGTATCGGATTGTGAAAACTGAATTCCGCACTGAGTATTTGTATGTAAATTTGGAGAGGAAACTTTGGTCCTATGAAATGTTTACAAGTTCAACGATTAAAAGAAGAGTAGGCGAAACTGGATTTATATTGATACGAATCAAATATACAATCAGATCTAGAATGAGACGTATTACAAGCTGAAAATGTAGTGTTTACCTCTCGCGTAAGTGAAAAGTTGGCGAAATCTGCTCGGACTTCCTCTATTTATAACTCAGTTCAGCTCATCGATCCATCTCCACGCATCCAGGGCGGTTCCGCGTATCTCGCGCATGTTGTTGGCATATTCCCCGTAAATCTTGCTCCTAGGACTGTGCTAACTGCCCTGTTAATTCGTTCCTAACTCGTCAGTTCTGCGTCCGTTGACGCAGCGCTCTCGGAGCTGAATTGGACCTTTGACCGAATCATGTCTTTTTTCCTGAGACTGGGCTGCGAGCCCATTAATATCTGGTCAGAATGGAATAGGACTAAGAATTTATATTTTTTGGGACCGAATTTGAACTGAGTCCAGCAATCCAATTGTCAACCAATTTTGATGTTATAATGTTTGGTAATGGTGTATTGTATTACGCATATGTTAGCAAAGAGAATGTATTGGATTTTAGAATTTATCATTACAAATATATGTTGTGGGATTATTTAAAGAAACAGCATGTTTAAATATATATCTGTGATGGAATTTTTGCTAAATACATCTATTATAAAATACTTCGCAAGTTTTTTTATTTGGATAATATAATTTGCAAGCAAGTTGAAACTCACCACCAGGCGAAATCCAAGGTAGGTACTACCATGCATATGTAGAGCTAGTTAATCGAATCAATATATAACTGAGTTCTATGTTTTTAACAAAAAAATATACGTTGACATAACACTAAAAGTCTAATTTAGGTGACGAGGATCACGCTTATGCACTTCACTAGTGAAACAACAAAGAATGCATTAATTAAGAAATTGAATTCTCCTTTAAGTACAGCAATTACTAAATAGAGTTTTAGAATTCTCCTTTAATGCTATATATAAGAATCTGGTGAATCTTCAAGCAATTACTAATTAAAGAAATATTGAGATTGTATCTAGCTGGTCCTCTCTTTGGCCATCGAGAGGCCGTGGAATATTCAGGTAAAACCCATGCATGCATGGATCTTGCAAGATTATAAATCATTAACATAGGTGTGTAGATATGTCTCATGCTTGCATGGTGTTGAACCGATCATATATATACAGGCAATTAATACTCTTCGACATTCAAAACAAGAAATCACCAAAACACGTCTCTATTCACTACCAAAACACTATGGATACTTATCTCTTTTCTTTAATTGTTCCAATCTTCGTTTTCGTTTTGATCGCTCTTTTTAAGAAACTAAAGAAGCCAAATCATGTAAAAGCTCCTGAACCGAGGGGTGCATGGCCAATCATCGGCCACCTTCACCTTCTCGGTGGCAAGGACCAACTTCTCTACCGAACCTTAGGAGAAATGGCTGACCATTACGGTCCAGCCATGTCGCTACGACTTGGGAGCAATGAAGCATTTGTTGTGAGCAGTTTTGAGGTGGCTAAAGATTGTTTTACTACAAACGACAAAGCCTTGGCTTCACGTCCTATGACTGCAGCCGCAAAGCACATGGGTTACAATTTTGCTGTTTTCGGGTTTGCGCCTTATAGCTCTTTCTGGCGCGAGATGCGTAAGATCGCAACCGTCGAGCTACTCTCTAACCGGCGGCTTCAGATGCTCAAGCACGTCCGTGTTTCTGAGATCTCAATGGGTAATTAAAAAACCAATGTTAAAAAATTCGGATGCTTAGCGTCTAAACCATTCACGTTAGTTTTTTATATGTTATATGACAACTCTCAAAAATAC